TGGCCTTCAGGCATACACACAGACAGAACATTGTATACATAATAAATAAATATTAAAAAAAAAAAAGGACACGATTTCACTGTTTAGCTCTGGCTGTCCTGGAACTAGTTCTGTTGACCTTACCTGTCTCTATCTCCCTGCGTGGTGAGATTAAAGGTGTTTGCTATCACCACCCCACTACCCCTCTGTGGGCACACACAGGCACGCTGTAAGTGCAGGATGAGGACAGTTCTGCAGTGTGCACACCTACCACACACATACAGGGATAATGGCACATTCCCATTTTGAAAACAAAGAAATTTCTCAAGAATCACACACTCTTAGTACTGTCTCATTACAAGAGTCCACATATTTGAAAACAAACTTCAAGGTTTGAGAGTATCTGGGCAACCAGTGGTCTGGGTCCTGCTACTGCTTGTAGTTCTAGACACAGAAGCTATTTCACCTGTGGCACGGCAGAGCCATGGCTGCTGCTCTTCCAGAAAACCCAGGTTCAGTTCCCAGCACCCACCTAACTCCAGCTTCAGGGCTTCTGACACCCTCGCATGTACCTTACAAACATGCAGACAAAATGCCAGCGAGAGGCCAGGCAGTGGTGGCACACGTTAATCCCAGCACTTGGGAAGCAGAGGCTGGTGGATTGAGTTTGAGGCCAGCCTGGTCTACAGAGCAAGTTCCAGGACAGGCTCCAAAGCTACAGAGAAACCCCATCTATTTTTTTTTTTAACTTTATTTTATGTGCATTGGTGTGAAGTGTCAGATCCCCTGGAACTGATCTTCAGACAGTTGTGAGCTGCCATGTGGGTGCTGGGAATTGAACCTGGTTCCTCTGGAAGAGCAGTCTGTGCTCTTAACCACTGAGCCATCTCTCCAGCCCCCCCCATCTTTATTTTTTGGAGACAAGTTTCTCTGTAGCTTTGGTGCCAGTCCCAGAAATAGCTCTTGTAGACCAGGCTGCCTATGCCTCCTGAGTGTTGGGATTAAAGGCGTACACCACCACTGCCTGGCAAGAAACCCCATCTTGAAAAACAATAAAACTGTGCCAGGCAGTAGTGGCAGCACACCTTTAATCCCAGTACTTTTGAGGCAGAGGACACAGCAACTTCTAGGACAGCCAGGGCTATGTATAGAGACACTGTCTCAAGCACCCCCCGCCCCTGTATAACTGTAAAGAGGACCTTTAGTCCACTGGTTTATGTCACACAATAACACTGGCTTTTCTTCCATGTTCTCCTGTAGACCATTTCTTTTGTAGGAACTATGTAACTCTCAAGTGTTTCTGAATTCCCTTCTCTGGAGAGCCCACCCACTCCTCTCCAGAAGTCCCTTCAGTTAGCATTACCAAACTGAAGCTATTCTTGCCATGCACTATGTAGAGGAAATAGAGGCTAGCACAAGGCCCACTTGGCTCTCCATAAGTACTCCACCAATCCATAAACAAAGGGGTTCTTCTTCCCTACTGTTTCTTTACTAGTTGTTGACTGTGGTCCTCCCGATGACCTACCCAATGGCCACATGAAATACATCACAGGCCCTGAAGTGACCACCTACAAGGCTGTCATCCAATACAGCTGTGAAGAGACTTTCTACACAATGAGCAGTGATGGTAAGTACTTTCTTCAAGGAGGGGCGGGTGGTACTTGGAACTTGAGTCCTTAAGGTTGAATATAAACTTGAGGCAGACTTTTTGGCTAAGGGAGACAAAGGATTAAAAGGCCTTTCTCCCTCGTGCTAAGTGAAATATTACAGTTGAAGTGACTTTAATGTCAATTTGCAAGAATCTGAAAACAGATCTTATCTAGTAAATGACTACCACAAACACACAATATATTCCAAATGGTTTAATTTAACAAGTCAAAAACCTTATCATTAAGCACTTGAGATCTTGATACATATTCAAGTTACACATCTAAAAGGTTTCCACTTTGCAAGCAAACATGGTAATGCAGACAGCTATTTATGAAATCATGTAAAATGGTTATTCACACACCTCTCCCCACCATGGATGCTCAAGAATCAACATTTTTCAAGGGGTTATTCAAGCAAATGACAACCACAGTTAAACATTTTTGCTTTTCCAACGATTTGCAGGTAAATATGTGTGTGAAGCTGATGGATTCTGGACGAGCTCCAAAGGAGAAAAATTCCTCCCGGTTTGCAAGCCTGGTAATGGACGCATTTATAAAAGAGAATCACAGCTGACACAGAGTAGATGGAAGATAACAGGCAGACAGGGGGCTCAGAGGCTGGCTTAGGCCAACATAACTCCCAAGCATGTTCTCATTACCCCTCTGCAAACAGAGGCTGCTAGCTGCACCACTCATTTGACCATTTTTGACCTTATGATTAGGCAAGCGTAAAAAATTAAATGATTTTTTAAATTATCTAAAACGATTTATACACTTATAAACACGAATTCTTGCTGAGTTACTTTTCTTCTCTGTAAAAGTGCTATTAAAACCCAAAGCTAATAACTTCATTATTTCCCTAAGCAATTGTTTTCAACATACACGTTTTTCAACATTAATGCAATTTGCCTTTTAATAGTATTTAATTTTTTTAAACCAGAATTGGCTCCAATAATAATAGTTGAGAATGCTTTTAAAAAAATTTAAAGGTAATAATACACTCATTACCCCCATGTTAGCTGGTTTAAATTAGTTTTCTAACCCTGTATTTGGTTTACATGCTGCTTCTAAGTTTTAATCAAAGTACAAGACCACAATAAGAAACATGTGCTGCATTCCTGAGTAATTAGCTTGCAACAGAGACACTGCAAACTTAATGTTTGGATGATTCAACTAGACCAGAAACACAAATTTTAGAACCAGAAGCATCTTGGCCATTGCTGCTACATTATGATTTACTACATTTTTACATTCAAAGGCAACAGTAATTTTGCAAACCATAACCTTAATTCCTGCCTTCCCAGAGTTCCTAATGAACTCAGAGGTAAAGCAAGCAATGCAGAGTCCTGACCTTTCGCCTGTATGTGGCACTCATGTCTTTGTTCACACAACTCCTGTCCGTATTGTCTACAGCTTTCCTCATGTTTTCATAAAGCAAAACATAAGAATCTGTGAAATCTTACTGATCCTGAGTAGCTAAGCACCAGTTAAGGACTATCAAGTGAAACTAGAACAGCCTCACTTGCCTAACAGAGAGGATGCCTACCTATCCACCAATCCATGGGACAGAACTACTGACACTCAACTTGCTTTTGCTCTTTCCTCAGTCTGTGGGATGTCCACACTCTCTACAAGAGGCCGCATATTTGGAGGGCAGCTCGCAAAGACTGGTGACTTTCCTTGGCAAGTCTTATTACTGGGCGAGACCATAGCAGCAGGGGCTCTTTTACACGACAACTGGATCCTAACAGCTGCTCATGCTGTGTATGGGCTAACAGAGGACGTGTCTTCCCTGGACATTCGTATGGGTATCCTCAAAAGGCTCTCACCTCATTACACCCAAGCCTGGCCCGAGGCTGTCTTTATACATGAAGGTTACAATCACAATGCTGGTTTTGACAATGACATAGCACTGATTAAACTCAAGAACAAAGTCACCATCAATGGAAGTGTCATGCCTGTTTGCCTGCCAACAAAAGAAGTTGCATCCTTAATGAGGACAGATACCATTGGAACTGTGGCTGGCTGGGGCTTAACCCAGAAGGGGTTTCTTGCTAGAAACCTAATGTTTGTGGACATACCAATTGTCGACCATCAAAAATGCACTTCTGCATACGCAAAGAAGCTCTACCCAGGAGGAAGAGTAACTGCTAACATGCTCTGTGCTGGCTTACAAACTGGTGGCAAGGACAGTTGCAGAGGTGACAGTGGAGGGGCATTAGTGTTTCTAGATAATGAAACACAGCGATGGTTTGTGGGAGGAATAGTTTCCTGGGGTTCCATTAATTGTGGGGAGGCAGATCAATATGGGGTCTATACCAAAGTCATAAACTATATTTCCTGGATCCAGAACATAATGAGTAACTTCTAACTTGTATGCCTCCAATCTGTGAATTATTCTTACAAATACCTGGAAAGGCTCTTAGCAGTAACAGAACCCAAGGAGCATCAATGGCCCACCCTAAACTAAACCGGATTAAACTGTTACATGCACTTGCCAATGTCAACTTTGTCGATTCATGGTGTTCAATACGTTTATTTTTACCAACCCTGCACACAAACCTACCATGTCGTGTTCAATTCTCTACAATCTATTGGCTGTTCCCATTTCTGAACAACTAAAGGCTTGCTGTTGATTTTCATAATCAATGGGTTCATGTTCTAGGCTGGCCTTAAAACTAATGTAGCAGACAACCCAACCTCTTTCTTTTGCTCCTACCAGCCAAATGCTTAGGGATTAAAGGTGTATGCCACACCTCACTTTATCTGGTGCTGACAATTAAATCTGGGTTTTGGATATGCGAGTTTGGCAAGCCAACTAAGATAACATTCTGAATCCTGCTCCACCCACCCTAACCCTTGAGTAGCAGCCAGGCCGACCTCAAATTTACAATTCTGCTTCAGCCTCACAAGTGCTGGGTATTAAAGTGTATGCCACTATATCTGGACTGTTCTTAAGTGAGCATGACTTGGGCACAGGTGACCCAAAACAGATCATAGAAAGCACACCAGCAGAAAACCGCACACAGTGAACTTATGTAACAAAAACGATGGTAACTCACAAAGCAACTGCTACTCTCCCGCTAAGATGCTGCCTTAATCTTAAAATGTCACATTTGATTGTACTTCCAATGAGTTCTGAGACAGTATCACTATGGAGCAACAGCTGGCCCACAACTCTGAAGTGTATGCCTCAACTTCTGGGATTAAAGGCATGTGCCACCACACCCAGCTGGAGACTCACATTTTTAATGGATGAAAATGCTATATTGCACCTTCCCTCAGAAGTCACTGTTAAAACTTTCTGGCATTTTTGTCATGAAAAATGTTTTTTTTTTTTCCAGTAAGACTCCAGACACTAAACTGTTGGTGGCAAGAAAACTTTTTATTCAACTGCGGTTCAAAGATTGTTTAAGAATGAATGCATTTTGATAACCAAATAGATTTTCAAAACCAAATTTTTGCCAAGTAGTTTATTTCTAAAACTTCATGTAGGGCAAATAACTATCTACAGCTACATCATACCATAAACATATTAAAAGGCTACTCAACATTGAAAGCCTTCTAGATGACCAGTAGTAACTCTTTAACAGGTGCAAACAAGGGATCAAAACCATGCCATCGACAAGTAACTTACCCCAGGACTCCTGGACGGCTTGCCAGTTTAGTCTTTGGAGGTCCCCGAAAACCATTTTAATGTTACCATGTTACTGCTGCTGAGTAATAGTGCAAGTGCTAAAATGCAAAATTCAGATGTACAGGGTTTGGAAATCATGCAGATTTAGATGCAGAGAAAAAAATTTACAATAACTCAAGATCCTTTTACAGAGGATACTTAATAATGAAACACCGTGTTCACAAGTCTAGAGGATATAAAATTTCAAAACACGCAATTTGCAAAATGACAAGCCTATTTATCATCATCTATTTAGGTAAGGGCAGTGGGGAAACTAACAAAAATGGTCACATCTTTCCAGCTAGAAAAGGAGTTCCCCAGCTCTCAGTAGTTACAGGAAAGTACAACAATCAAGGTATTATTGCTTTTACATTCTTAACAATGCATTGTGAGAGTCTAATCTGATTTTGTGAGCACTGTCACTTCATGCCCCTACAGCCCAGAGGGGACAAGCCCATCTCACTTAAAGACTGCCACAGATAGACAACCCACCCTACTAGTTCTTAAAGCTATCAGGCTTCTGAATGGATTTCAGGCACATGGTTTCTTCTACTTCATCCCTATTGCAATTAATTCCACTTTTAAATCCCCCAGAATGTTTATCATCCCTTCTTTCCCATTGATATGCTCTGCTACAAAGCATTTGGAAACAACTGTTTTGCCCCCTCCCAAATAGTATTTTTAGAAGGCATGAGTTCCCAACGGAGACTTATACAGCCATGTCAATAGAAAAATCACTCAAATGCACAGAGGCACTCAGAACAAGCTGGAGGGTAACTGCTTACCATTTTAGGTTCTGTCACCCAGACTTATGAAAAACTAGATTAAAAACAGAATAACCCATGAAAAAACTTTCACTTTGGACAATGCAAGAACAAATAGCAATTAAGTCTGGGTATCAGGTGTCAATGCATGACAGGTGATGAATCCATTTGACTTGAGACAACTTTTCAAATAAGTTTATTTGAAGCAAAATAAACTACTGCCAAGAAACTTTATGAAAGTTCCATCTCAAAAGGGTCAAAAAGGGGAATTAACTGCTATGAATTCTTTGCATTCAGGGCTGCAAAACAAAGACACATATTATTTAAATCAGTTTTATTTAAGAATTTCCAACAATGACAACTCTTATAAAAAGCATCCAAGCACAGGACACAGAACTGCAGCAAACAGCATTCTTATGTTAGCTAACAGACATGAGAACGTCCACCCTCTTTGAGACACCTGAGCTCACTGGTGAACTCTGCTTCCAAGTTCTCCTGCAAAGCACACCACAAGCTCAGTCCATGTTCGCAGCCCATCAGCTTCAGTTCACGTGCCCACACTTCCAGCTCAGTAGCAGAGGAGAACACACATACAGCATTCACAGCAGTTGACAGAGGGGAGGGAAGTACAAGTATTTCACTGAACACATTCAACTAAAGTGGGTTTTCTAAGAACAAAACTCAAAGTCTTCCAACAGACGTGGATGTCCTTTGATGCGAAACATTCGTACGTTTATTTGCTATCATTGCTCTCTGCACACTCTCTCACCAAAGCCACAGGATTGAGTGACACATCTCTCCAAGTTAAAAAATATCCATTTTGCACCACCAAGTCTCTGCACGCGCTCTCTCCTTTCCTCGCTCATACTAGCCTTTCATGCCTCGGCACCACCATCAATCCCACACAAGGTTTCAAAAGTTCAAACAGCCTTCTGGTTCCATATCACAGCCTTGCGTTCATAGCGTTGATACGACTCCATGAAATAAAGAGTAGCGGATAAAAATGGAACACCCACCGTCAAAGACGCAGCCTGTGCAGCGTGATGACGAATTCTTGGATGAGAAAGCATGTAGACAGAAGTATTCCTATGGCAGAATATTTACAGCACTACTTTCAATGAAGTGCTTCTTCCATAAACATTTGAAATGAGATGAACTGCAGAGATTAAATGAAGGCTTCATATTGTACTTTCGTATATGAAGGAAGACAAGTGTTAAAAACAAAACCAAAAGAACCAAACACCATGACATCATGATCTCCCAAATGGAGATATTCCTAAGGAAAAAATTCATAGGGTGGGATTCAAATTAAAATGAGAAAAGAATGTAGTTCTAACCAATGGTTTCTATTCTGAACATGCAAAGAATCCATTTAACAAGTCCAATGACAGAATATTACAGAGAAACCTTCTGAGATCAATTGTAGTGTTGGTTTACCAATTAGGCAAACAGCAGTTCACTTTCACCCACTCAGTATTTTAACCCTTTATATAACAAAACTTATAAAATTCATTTAGCTTTTCCTCTTTTTCTAAAGAAAAATGTCAAAAATACTGCTGAATATACTCCACACTGAACAAACCAATCTGAAAATTTTTAGTACATATGTATTTTACAATATACTTACCATGAGTTTAGAAAAATTTGAATCCCACCATTCTATACCTACCTACCTACCAACCGACCACCCCTCCCCCAGCACTGTCTACATTCCCCAGCCAGAGGATTTAGAATCCATGCTTGAGCCAAAACCGCCATTAAAACCACTGCCTGACCCTGCATTTGATGCTGACCCCCAACCAAGAGGGGCACCAGAATTAGAACCACTATAGGAATTATTCCCCGAACCAAACGTCTGATTTGGCTCCCTTTGCATGCTGCCCTGGCTTTGGTTATTACCAGATGGACCTGACTGGTTCTGTTGGCTGGCTAACATGCCCATCATTCCCCAACTGCTCTGCAATGCTGCCTGAGCTGCAGCCATCATCGCTGGATTAATGCTAAAAGCTCCGAAGTTCATTCCTCCACCCATATTGCCACCCTGGTTATTTCCCAAGCCAGCTCCACCCCCTCTACTGTTACCAAACCCACCCTGATTCCCAAAGCCACCTGGATTACCACCAAATCTTCCACTTCTTTCTAACTGTCTATTGCTATTATGCTTAGGTTCAGCATTGGATATATGCACGCTGATTCCTTTAATGATCAAATCCTCTCCACAAAGAGACTGGGCAACCTATAAGAAATAAGGAATGTAAATGGTGATTAAACCAACTCACGTACCAACTCAGCAATACAATACCAAATCTTAGTATAACCCATCTAAGTAGAAGGAAAATAAGCAATGATTGCTAGTTTCACTTTGGCAACATCTGTAACTAAAATATGTGTAACAGCCCCAAAGCTCACATAATGAAAAACATCGGAAGAGCATCTTACTGCTATCTAAACCCATACACTCTACTCTGAAAATGTGACAATCAGCTGGAACAAGTCACTTTTATCATTTTGAGTGCTGGAGACTGAGCTTAGCACCTACTGTATCATGCTGGGCACATACAGTAGCCCCAAACCAGATACATTCCCAGCCCTGAAACGTATTAAGAAGAAAAATACCTTATCATCTGCAAAGGTAACAAAGGCAAAAGCCCTGAATGGTTTGGGAATGAAGACATCTACTACTTCTCCATACTGACAGAAAAATTGTTGAAGCTCTTCAGCAGTCATATCCTCTGTACAACGCCCAACAAACACCTTTCTGCTTCTCAAAGGTTCATCTGGGCTTTGCTGGTCAAAAGAAAGGAACATCAGAAATAAATATATAAGGCATACTTCCCCTTTCTTTGGTGTTTTGCCCCCCGCCCCAGACAAAGTCTGTGTATCCTTCGTTGGCCTGTGCCTCTGGGTGCTGGGATTAAAAGTGTGTGACAAGATTTATGGCCCCTTGTGGGGGGTGGGGGAAAGGCATGCTTTGCCTTCCTGTATCTATGTTAACCAGGTCTGGTGCCCTTTTAGGACAGAAGGGATTGGATCACTCAGAACTGTAGTTAGTTGCTGCTGCAGTGCAGGTGCTGAAAACTGAACCAATCCCTTTCCAAAAATAAGTAATTACTAATTAAGTTCTCAACCTCACTTCCTTGGGATTTTAAGACAGCTCCATGTACCCCAGGATGGCCCTCAGCTTGATATGTAAGTGAGGACAACCTGAATTACAGGAATGCAACATCATGCCCAGCTTTAATTTCCTTCACACACGAGACCATTATGTGCACATTCGGGATAGAGGTTGATGCTACTCATCTTTCTTAGTCATTCTCCACCTTTTTTTGAGTCTGGGTCTCTCACTAAACTTTTATTTTTCTAGACTGGTAGCTGGTAAGCTCCATGGATCACCTGCCTCTCCCTCTGCAGGGGAACCCACATGCTATCACAACCCGTTCTTTAAAAAAACAAAAAATGTGGGTTCTTGGTAGAAGTAGCAAAGGTCTCAAGAATCAGGTAGTGGTTTAACCTCAGCACTCAAGAGACAGAGGCAGGCTGACCTGAGTTTGAGGCCAGCCTGGTCTATAGAATGAGCTCCAGAACAGCCAGGGCCAAACAGAGAAACCCATCTGAGAAAAACAAACAAAAAGCAAAAAAAGCCTGCCTGGCGGTGGTGGCACACGCCTTTAATCCCAGCACTGGGAAGGCAGAGGTAGGCGGATATCTGTGAGTTAGAGACCAGCCTGGTCTACAGAGCTAGTTCCAGGACAGGTTCCAAAGCTACAGAGAAACCCTGTCTCGGAAAAAACAAACAAAACCACAAAAAAACAAAACAAAACAAAACAAAACAAATCAAACCAAAAATCCCCCCCCCCAAAACAAACAATCCTAGTACTCGGGAGAGGCAAGCATGGAGATCTGAGTTCACAGCCAGCCTGATATACACAGTACATAGCAAGTTCCAGGACAGCCAAGGTTACACAGTTGAAAAGCTAAAACTTTCCTTGCCATGTTTCCAAATGCATTTAATATTTTAAGGTATCTTAAGAAAAGATTCTCCAAGCATACAGGAAAACAAAGAGCAAAATACCTTAGAATTGGGAAGTTTACAGTCACACCATCGTCCATCTATCATATGTCGTTGTGACATTACTTTCACTTGGGTTTCATATTCCGTAAACCGAACAAAGCCAAACCCTTTTGAGTGACCAGTTTTAAGATCTTTCTTGACCTAAGAAAGGACGATTGAAACTTATTCTACTAATATCACACATAAACAAATCAGAGATCACATAAAACTCTGAATGGCTTCAACTGAATGAAGCAGCACATTAAAGTCAATAGAGCTCAAGGCAAAGTCAACAGCAGAAAATCAGAGAACAGTAGAGAATGACTAACTTGGACTCTAATAATGTTTAGAATGAGCACAAAGAAGATCTAATATAACCTATTTCCTTTAAACTAGTAGCTATCAAGCTTCCTAATGCTTGCAACCTTTAATACAGGTCCTCATGCTATGGTGACCCCACACATAATTATTTTTGTTGCTACTTCTTAACTATAATTTTGTTACTGTTATGACCTATACAAACAGCATAAAGAGGGGATGGGGTTTGGGGGGGTGAGTGGGAGGGAAGTGGAAATTTTGAATGATATTATTTATAAAGCAACAACAACAACAAAAGCAATTAGCTAGTTAAGTTTACCTGAACCATAAGAACCTCTCCAAAAGTGCTGAAATAATCTTTAAGATCTTGTTCTGTTGTTTTCCAGGGGAGACCCAACACTATTAGATCAGATGTTTTCTGGACTGCTCTTTTCACCTTCACTGCTGAGGAAGCATCTGTCTCATCCATTTTTCTTTTGTTATCTAAACAAGGCAAACAGAAACCCATATTTAGCAGTTAAAAAAAAAAAAGGGCAGGTGGATCTCTGTGTTTGAGGCCAGCCTGGTCTATCTAACAACAAAATACAATGAACCAACAAGACCAGATCTATAAACAGTGAAGAGACTGGAAAACTTGTATCCTTCTTAGGACAGAATGTAGCTTAAGAGGCTGATTTTTCTGGTGCAAATTAGAGGAATCTCAATTCTAGTTTGGTATTATCTTTTTGAAAATTGATTTGTGTACATTTGAGAAAGTGCCGAGTATACCATTTGTAAGCAGTTTTTGGCCTTCTGTCTTGTTATTCCTGGGGAAGGCTGTACCCCACAGAAATCAGCTACCAGAGGTAGACAGGTGGCCTGGCTTGCTGAGAGTTGTCTTTACTGCATTTATCAGCTATCTATCTCCCTGGCCTAGTTTTGAACAATCTAAGATTATAAAACCAACTGCATGTTCTCCTCAAAACCGGTATCTACATAAACAAAATTCTACTTCATTTTCATTTTGTGGCATTAAATTTATCTGACTAATCCAAGGGATCAAACACCCTCTTGGGATGCACATGGTGTAAAAGAAAACAAAAAACCCCCAAAAAACAATAAAAAAACCTTACAAAGCCCACATACATACTTAAAAGAGAAAACTAGCAACTTTTATTTCTACATGTAAATTTGGGTGCTTTCTGTCTTATCCAAACATCCAGTGATACTGTTTACATATGCCACCAAAACTGGTCTTAAAGAATCCTCTTTCTGGTCGGGCAGTGGTAACAAACGCCTTTAATCCCAGCACCCGGGTCTCTGTGAGTTCGAGGTCAGCCTGGTCTACAAGAGCTAGTTCCAGGACAGGCTCCAAAGCCACAGAGAAATCCTGTGGTGGCGGGCCACAAGAACCCTCTTTCCTCATCCTTCCTGCCGTTATTATTGGCTGCACGCCACCTCAAAGGCCAGACAAGCACTTTACTACGCTCTAGCTTCAGCTCCCGTTCATGTAGACACAGTATTCTACCATGTCCCCACAGTGCTCTTCAAATGGTGGTGGTACATATGTGCCTTTAATCTCAGGACCTGGGAGGCAGAGGCAGGCAGATTTTTGTGAGTTCGAAGTCAGCCTGGTCTACAAAAAGCTATTTCCAGGACAGGCCCCAAAGCTACAGAGAAATACTCTTGGAAACCCCCTTCCCCCAAAATTGAGTTTCTCCTGCTTGAGCTTCTTAACCTTCAATTTCGAGTGTGTGCCACCCCCAAACAACATCAAATGTTCTTTTAATTTTTTTTTTGGTTTTTTAAGACAGGTTTTTATAATTTTGAGATCTTCATATTACAGATTTGAAGATCACTGTGAGGAAACAGTGAAATATAACGTAGTAGAGTGTTTTCTTTCTCTGTGTTACAGCCCTGGCTGTTCTGGAACTCACTCTGTAGACCAGGATGCCTCTGCCTCCTGAGTGCCAGGATTAAAGGTGTGTGCTACCACTGCCCAGCAGATCCTCTTTAATTTCTTAGACAAATATTAGTCTTTGTATATTGAACAATTTGTGGACTGACCTCCCTTGTTTGAGACCTCAGCTGTAACTATGTAGCCCAGACTGGATTCAAAGTCACGATCTTTCTGCCTCATACCCCCTGCTGATGCTGGGATTACAGGTATGTGTGGCACTTTGTTGCAATATCATTATACTAAAAGTAACAACGTACCAATTCCCAGGCAATCATCCTCTTTCGAAGACAGGGTCTCTGTTTATCCCTGGCTGTCCCAAACTCAAGAGATTGACTCCCCTCAGCTTTCGAGTGCTTGAGTCAAAGCTGTGTGACATGAGGCCTGGCTTTCTCATAAGAGGCAGGGAAAATAAGACCACAACCTTAAAATCAAGGTAATTCTGTACTAAATCAAGATTTGGGCCACTGCAACTGTGGCTTCTCTGAGGAGGGGAAAAGAGGTTAATTTAAACAAGGGAGCAAGAGGCTAAAAGCACTGCTCTTGTGGAGCTAAGGGTTTGGTTCTCAGCAACCACATGGCAGCTCACAACCATTCAAACGCCCCCTTCAGATGGTTGGATGCCCTTTTTGCATCAGGCACACACAGTGCAGAAATTTGAGAAAGCCGGGCCTGGTGGCACATACTTTTGATCCCAGTTACAGACAGTTGTAAGCTGCCCTGTGGATGCTGGGAATTGAATCTGGGTTCTCTTAAGAGCCATTGTTCTTAACCAGAGTCACCACTCCATCCCAAGGCACTTTGTTTTAACAGCCTAAATTTAGCATCAGATTGGCAATAACTGTTCCAACAGCTTAACATTTAAGTATATACTCCTATAAAAAAATAGCCCTACAATTCCAATCACTATTTAGACTAGGGACCTTTTAGAGTAGTCTAAGCAAAGTTTAAAAGAACTGGATTGTAGAAGACATTTGCCACAAAGGCCAAACCCCGAGGACAGAGCCTAACAGTCCTTGCACGGCAAACATGAAGCCCTGGACATCACAGCGGCACCACACACAAATAATCTACGATTTAGGATGGCATACAAGCCTAACTGTAGTCAGCCATAAGGCAAAAACAGAGTAACAAACCTTTCGGATAGTTGACAACGTACACCAGATTTCCCCAGCCGGCATCCGGGGCATGCAGGATTCCTTCCACCAGCCGAACACCCCGCATACACTGAGACACGGGATTCCGGTAGCGCAGGCCGCATGCCCCTGGAAACTGGGCTGTAACTGTGGACAACAACACTGTACCATCGTCTTCTGATGGTATCTCAATGGGCTCATCGTTCTCATCTTCTGTTACCCGAATATATTCAGACATCTTTGCCGAATTTTCTAGAGAGATGAATGACCAAGAGAATAATAGCAGTTATTTCTTTATATTTAGTCACCACCACTACTGTTCCCACTTCCTGAAAAGCCTCTTGCCACTTGAAACCTAATGTTTCTTTTGCCATCCCTGAGAACTGAGGAAGAGTATTCTTTTTTTTTTTTTTGGTTTTTCAAGACAGGGTTTCTCTGTGGTTTTGGAGCCTGTCCTGGAACTAGCTCTTGTAGACCAGGCTGGTCTCGAACTCACAGAGATCCGCCTGCCTCTGCCTCCCGAGTGCTGGGATTAAAGGCGTGCGCCACCACGGCCCGGCCAAGAGTATTCTTTAGAGATAAAAAAAAAAAAAAAGACTTTAAACTTTTTGTTCCCAACTCACTTATTTAATAAGTGTTTTCTCAGGGCTTACTATATGCTTGAGGTGCGCTAAAATTCCAAAAGTGTTACCACCTGGCTTGTTGGTTACAAAACCAGACAAAAAAATAAAGGGTTAAAGAACTAATTGTTTCTGTTCCGACTTTTTTTTTTTTCTTGCAAACACAGTTTTCTTACCCGGAGCGAAAACTACAGACTACAATATTTTCTGGCCATCCTGAACTAGTTTTATTCCAAGGTCTGAGACCCTACATTGGGCCGAGCACGTGCTTTAAGCGGGTGGAAGAAATCCACAAAGAATTCCATCTGGGGCTGGCGGCGCTCGGAAACTTGAGGTCTCCTGTTCCTCATTCTCGGGAAGGGAGAGCTAAACTTGGGCGTCGAGGGCAGGAACGACAGTGGCTCCGCGACGTAGGCCACCACTTCCCAGAAGGCTCTGCGCGATGAACGACGTTAACCACCCCCCCACTCGGCCTGGGGTGGGGCCGCCGGAGTACAAGGCCCACGGTGGCACCGATTGTTCTCGGACTCCCGAAGGGGTCCGCACCGCCGAAGCCCCGGGGCTGCGACAAACTCCCCGCCCGCACGGCCCGGCAGGCTCGGCGTCCGGCCCCGGCTGCCGCCCGCGCTAGGCCCTAACGACGCGGCGGCGCGAGGCCAGCTAGGCCCCGCTCCAGAGCGCCCTTCCCGCCGCGCAGGGCGCCTGAGACCTCCCCGCGGAGCCCCATCCGGAGCCCGCGAGCAGCCCTGGGGTCACCACTCACCGTTAGGCCGCGACCAGAAAGCACGACGAGGAAACGGCGACAGCGAGGGACCCGATCTCAGCCGAGCTACCACTTCGTGCCCACAAAATGGCGCTAGGGCCGCCTCCCGCCCCCGCCCGCCTTCGGCCGCTCCCACCCACTTCCTGTCAGGAGGGGCGCTCACCTCGCGGAGGCTCAGGCGCTCCCTCCTCGAAGTGGCTCAGATCCTAGCGGGCGCCCGGACACGCAGAAAGGAATGGAAGGACGCGGAGAGCGGAGGGGCCGCGCCGGAGACGCCGAAGCCGGAGACACAGCGCGGCTACGCAGGCTTTAGCTTCCACCCCCACGCGACGTGGCACGTGGCTCCGTCCGACCAACCGCCGACCCCAGCAGAGCAGCTCGCGCTCACGGAAAGTGCGCGAGACTGGCGGAAGGCCGGGAAGAGCGTGGCGGGACCGGGGACGGTGGGCGGGGCTTCAAGGGAAGGGGCGGAGCCGGGGCGGGCGGGGCGCGAGAGGGTCGGGTGGGGGCGGGGAGGGAATCTCGCAGGGAACCCCGGCTCCCGGCTCTAAACTTTGCTGGTCTTCAGACGTCTTCTGCCCTTGCTCGGTAATTTCCAACCGTGGAAACCCTAGCTTTGGTCTACACAAATGGTAGCTGTCCTAAGTACTACTTTGTATCAGGTACTTTTGTGCCCCGTCTGGCTCCAGGGAAGAACAAAACAAAATAGAATCTTGTGAATCGTAGACAAGTGTTCTTCCATTGACCTTGGGCTGTGCTTGTCCCTTGTAGTTTTCAGAGTCTTTGTATTGTTTTAGAGACAGAGACTTCAAAGTCACTATGTAGCCCAGGTTTTCCTTGAACTCATTATGGCTCCCCCTCCCCTATCAACAGCCTCCCAAGTGTTGATGTCCTAGGAATCTGATGTTATAAGTAAGGAAACTGAGGCACTGAGAAAGGACAGGCGGGGCTGGCAGGCACGGAGAATAAATAGAAGGAGAAATCTGGGAAGGGAATATTGGGAGAAAAAAAGGAGAGGAGGACGTCAGGGGCCAGGCACCCAGCTACGTAGCAAACACAGAGGAAGTAAAGAAATGTGTATAGGATAGAGAAAGATTGCACAGAGGCAAATGATAGATAGCATAATTTAAGAAAAACTGGCAAAAATAAGCCAAATTGCTCGATGGTGGTGGCACACGCCTTCAATCCCTTGGATTCAATCCGGCACTTGGGAAGCGGAGGCAGGCGGATCTCTGTGAGTTCGAGGCCAGCCTGGTCTACAGAGGGACCTAGAGATAGAGAGAGCCTAGAATAGGCTCCAAAGCTACACAGAGAAACCTTCTATTGTAAAACCAACAATCAAAAACCAAAAAGAAATGAAGCTAAAGTTGGGCATTCCTAAGTAAGAATAAGTCTTCGTGTGATTTATTTGGGAGCTGGTGGCAAGCCCCTAAGAGTAGAGTGGAAAAATAAAAATACCCAACAACATAGGCTGATTGCCAAAAGGTGATTTTTTTTTTTTTTGGTTCTATTTATTTTTCAAGACACAGGGTCTCTGTAGCCCTGGCAGTCCTTGAAGTTCCTCTGTAGACCAGGCTGGCCTTCAACTCAGAGATCTGCTGGAATTAAAGACTGAAGGTCAAGGCCTGGGCCACCACGTCCAGCTCCTGACCCTGTTATTTATTTGCTGAGGTGCGGTGGGTCAAGCCAGTGCTCTTACCCCAGACCCACAACAAATTTTATGGGTGGGTGGTGGGTTCCAGACAAGGTTTCTGTGTTTCTCTGTTTCTGTGTTTCTCTAGCTGTCCTGGAACTCACTTTGTAGACCAACACACACTTCGTGGTTGACTTGTTTAGTTGGGTTTGTTTGTTTGTTTGTTTTTTAAGAGTTATTTTTGTTGCTGGGCGGTGGTGATCACACCTTTAATTTTAGCACTAAGGAGAAAGAGGCAAGCAGGTTTCTAAATTCAAGGCCAGCCTGGTCTTTAGAGTGATTTCCAGGACAGCCAGGACTACACCAAGAAACCCTGTCTCAGAAAAACCAGACCCATTCAGACATAAGGAACAGTTGAAGTAATAATACAGTGCACACCAGCATAGCTGCCACTCATAAGTAAGCCCTGGGGGGGAAGGCACGGAGGTATTTGTGCTCACAGACAAGCACTAGAGGAATCTGGAATGTTAGTGACTCAGAGTAGGGACTTCAAGAGAAGGAAGGCAAGGCCTGTTGTCACCTAGAAGGCTGGGAATGGGTATGCTTTCTAGCCTGGTCTCCTTTACACTAGCTGCGACCCCACCAAGGCCCTCTCCAGACCCCTAATGAGCTTGCTTTTTCTCAGTTTACTATAGAACCTATCTTTATGGCCAGTGTCCCATGTACTTTTTACAAAGAGTTTCGACGTAGTCATCTCTGATTCAGCTTACTTTGTTCTTCAGAGATTCATGATGTATGCTTTGTTGTACACATGAGACTGAGTTAATTATCACCAGAAAAATTTTCACCAAATTGTGCTGTGTGTAAAATAAACTGCTTGGAACACTCATGAGGAAGAGGCAGGTGAATCTCTGTGAGTTTGAGGCCAGACTCCAAAGCTACAGAGAAACCCTGTCTCGAAAAACCAAAATAAATAACACAATAAATAAAAAAAAATAAACCACTTGGGATCAGATGCTTGAAGTTTGGAAGAACTACCACCGACTGAACCGTGTTGAATCGAACTACCTTCCTGAACCGTGTTGAATCGAACTACCTTCCTGAACCGTGTTGAATAGAACTACCCTCTTGCCTCTCTAGGATCATCTCTCTGCTGGCTGCGGAGCCCACAAAGACCCCTTAGTAACTGGCTCATATTTTGTAATATCTGTTTGTGATTGTGTATAGCCAGCTCTCACGTCCCCCACCTAGGCCACGTTCAGCCCTCTTATCCCCCAAACAAGGAAATTCTTCTACATGACTTCTGTGACCATTTCTAGGAGTTGGGCTGTAGTCACAGCTACTCAGGAGGCTAAGGCACTGAAGGAGAGAATAAGGTAGAAAAGATCAATGACTTGTTACTGTTTTATTTTTTATTGACTTACCTAGTGATTCCCTTAAAGCACTGCCTGTCGCCTAGCAGGACTTAACTTGCTACGACCTGGAGAAACAGTGGAAACACTAGGTCCTTGCCCTCTCTTCAGCTTACAGTCTGTCAACCTCCAAGCTACCTGCTAAGAATGCTTTTGTTTGCTTACTTGCTTGCCCCACCTTGTGGCTTTAGACTATAAAATGAAACCTTTTGGGAGTTACTCAGCTCCAGCCTACTGGAGACATTTCTTCTCTTTCTCCTCCTCCTTCTCCTGTTCTTCCTCTTCTTTCTTGACTTTTCAAGACAGGTTTTCTCTGTGTAGCCCTGGCTGTCCTAGAACTCACTCTGTAGTTCGGGCTGGCCTTGAACTCAGATACCTCCCTCCCTCTGTATCCTCCATCCTGAGTGCTGGGATTAAGGTGTATGCCACCACCACTTGGCTTTTTTTCCCTTCCTATTTTTGTTTCTTTCTTTGTCTTTTCCTTTCTCTTTCTCCTCTCCTCTCCTCCCCTTTCCTCCCCTCCCCCGCCCCCCCCACTCTGAGATAGGGTCTCAGGCATATTTGAAAGGTAAAACAGTATCCAGATTTAAAAAAAAAGTCTGGCTTCATTGTGATAGGCTTTTTTTTTTTTTTTATTTCCTGCCTACAACCTGCCAGAATAAAGGTATACTTCCCTGTGTTGGCCTAGGTCTTAGGTTTTTCAAAGTCATTTTTGTAGGGACTGGAAAAGCACCTTCTGCTCTTCCAGAGGAAAGGAGTTTGGTTCCCAGCGCCCTTATAAGACTGGGTGGTTCACTGGGCAGTGGTGGTGTACCCCACACCTTTAATCTGCAGTGCCGCCTGCCTGCACGGCCTGGAACCGAAACCTAGCGAAGGACGTCAGGATTGAACAGACATACACCTCTCTAGCTGATGGTAGAAGAAGCACTTTATTGAACGGCACCACGGAGGTTTTCTACCTAACCCAGCCAGGTGGACCAACAGGTAAAGACCTCACCGCCTGATCCTTGGTCAAGGCCAGGGCTCTGCGTCCTCAGGAAGCAGGGTTGGTAAACAACTTTGACAGAGCTCTCAGAAGCTCAAATCAAAAGGGCAAGGAAAGGTCACTAGTGGGGAAGAACAGCTGGAGGCCAGGACTCCAAAGGATCCCAACACAGCAGCACTTGGAAGGCAGAGGCAGGCAGATCACTGTGAGTTTGGGGCCAACCTGGTCTACAGAGCAAGTTCCAGGACAGCCAGAGCTAAACAGTGAAACCCTGTCTTGAAAAACAAAGACTGGGTGGTTCATAGCCACCTGTATCTCCAGCTCCAGGGAGTCTCATGCCCTCTTCTGGCCTCCATGGACACTGCATCCTTATGATGTATGCACATAGACCTACACAATACACATAGATACAATAATAAATCTAAAAAAAAAAATGAGCCAGGTAGTGGTAGTGCACACGTGGGAGGCAAAGGCAGACAGATCTGTGAGTTCAAGGCCAGCCTCATCTATAGAATGAGTTCCAGGACAGCCAGGGCTACATAGGGAAACCCTTTCTCAAAAACAAGGAATAAATAAATATAAGTTACAAGAAAAGCAATCCATGCAAACGCCAATAACAAAACCCTGAACAAACCAGGCTGGCCTCACCTGCAGTGGTTCCCCTGCCTCAGCCTTCCAGGCACTGGCATTATAGGCATAGGTACCTTGCCCCTCTTTAAAATTCCTATTATAAAATAATATAGTATTTGCATATAACCTATGCAAATGACCCCATATACTTTAAATCGTCTCTGCATTCCTCACAATACCTAATAAAATGTAAATGCTATGTAAATAGTTGTATTGAGTTATTTAGGGGATGATGACAAGGAAAATTTATGTACATATTTAATGTATGATTTTTTCCTACTTTAAAAACAGATTTATTTACTTATTTGTGTGTGTGTCTAAGTGTGAGTATATGTGCATGCGGGGTGGGGGGGCATGTATGTGCACACGCAAGCCAGACGACTATATCACTCTCTCCCTGTTCTCTTCCTGAATCTGGGGCTTTGGGTTTTCTCTTTCTGCTCCTCCTAGAGCAGGGGCTGCAGGCATTCTCTGAAATGCCCTGTCTACTGTCTGGGTGTTGGGCTTCACTACTCAGCCATTTCTCCAGTCCCATATTAATAAATAATTTATTTCTTCCTTTGCTTTTTTGAGACGAAGTCCTGGTACTTAGCCTAGGCTGGTCTTGCACTCACTATGTAGATAGTTCAGATGGCCAACGCACGGCAACCTCCATGCCACAGTCTCTGTCATGTTGGAATTACAAGCATGTACCACCAAGCTTGGTC